GTGACGTGTGTTTGGTTGCACAGGAGTAAATACCTTCATAAAAATGCAATATGGCACTTACTTTTAGAATTAGCCATTCTGAGGTTTTTCCGCTTGATATTTTCTGGATTCATGTTTTGGGTGCTTACAAAGGACAGAAAGTAAAGATGATTATTATATCATGACTTACCTCCATAACATGCTTTCTTGTTCCCTTCTCTTGCTCCTGGTTCAATTTGGGATGTTCCATTCATTGAAGAGAATAAAAACATAAATAATACCAACATCTGAACATATGCAGTGTAGGTATGAATAGTAAATACATACTTACATTTGATCTTGGATGCTTTAAGGATGCAGCAAGCGAAGTGGGCTCCATTTTTTTCATACTGTTGAAAAGGAAAAAATACAATGCTTTGAAGGAGCAGAGAAATAGACAAAAGTACATTTAAGAACAAGAGAAAAACATTTTACAAAGGTTGAATTAAAATGTATATTGACAGTAAAGAAAATATAAAAAAGGAATACATAAGCATGTATATATTTACCTCTGGTGTTGATAAGCTGTGTCAAAGTTGGATGCTTGGAGCTGTAAATAAAGAACAATTCTTGTTAAGATTACATGTATGTTGTTATCTCCTTTTCTTATTCCAAATCATATCAAACAAATGCACAGTAAACATGCTGGGGCATGCTTCACAAGTCAAAACAAGTGGGGAAGAAAGGCTGAATATTCACACTGGGCATTTTTGAACAAACAAGCATGAGATGTGTGAAACAAGCAGACAAGGACATTGCAGGTGTGTACAAGTAAAAAGGGGTCTAAACATATAGAAATGAGCTATATAATACAGAACAAACATGTGCCACAAACAAATTATGAGCCAGAAATGAGTCAGAATACAGGAAAACACTTGTGTCACAAACAAACCATGAAGCTGAAACTGTGCCAGAATACAGAACAAACATATATGCCACATCAAGATATGCACCATAAATTACCCAGAAAATACAGAAAAACCATATGCCACAATCCAAACATGAAAGTGCTTAACTCCTAAGACAAATGAGGCTGTTGAAAGGATTAACCACTTCCCGTCCAGCTCATGTACATAAACGGCCGGATGGGAGAAGTGCAGGAGCGGGTTGCCATTCATAAATGGCGCCTGCATTTTCAGGTTGTGTGTGCTCCCTGGGAGCGTGCGGCACAGCGATCCGGTGTCCGCTGTGTCCGATTCCTGTATGGGACCACCGTGTGAGGTCTCGATCATGTGGTCACTGATTGGCCAATCAGTGATCACATGAAGAGTAGTAAGCAAGATGTCACTTCTGACATCATTGCTTACTACTTGTGAAATCTGTGAATGATCACATAGGTCACATGATACAGGGCCATTCGCAACAGCCCTGTACCATGGACAAGCTGTGACCAATCACAGCTCTCACAGTATTTCTCAATGGCTGCAAGAATGTAGCCAGCGAGAAGGAGATATTATTGCTTTTACAGCCTTTATGGGTGTAAACGCAATCAGTGTAAAAAAAAGAAAAAAAAAATCTTCATCACCCCCCACAAGTAGTACAGTGTCACTATGGTGACACTGTACAGCTAGGGTGACAGTATGTAAAAAAAAAAAACATAAATAATAATATATAGAATTAAAATAAAAATTGAAAAAAAAAAAATTTAATTATAATTTTTGGTTATAAACTAATTTGGGTTTTTTTTTACTAAAAAAGATAACCAAATACATTTTGGCCAAGATTTATGAAGAAAGATTATTTATTTGCAAAATTTTATAAGAAAATTTTCAAAATTTTTTGGACATTTTCATTTTTATAGCAAAAAAAAATAAAAATCCCAGTGGTGAATAAATACCAGCAAAATAATGTTTTATCTGTCTCAAAAGAATGCTAAACAATTCATATGGGTACAGTGTTGCATGACTGCACAATTGTCATTCAAAGTGTGATAGCACTGAAAATTGGGCTGGACAGGAAGGGGGTAAAAGTGTCCAGACTTTAAGTGGTTAAAAGTTGTTTACCATGTGCTCCACCAGATACAGGGTGAGCTCTCCTCCACCGTCGCATATTTCTGCCAGGGCCCTGAGAAGTGTGTGCCGGAAAAGAAGTCCTGCCCGATGGATATGATGACACCTGCAGTAAATTACTCCATACATGTGCTAAATTACTGCACTATTTCATGAGTTAAAAACTCCACAAAACATGACAAAATACAGCATGCAGTATTTTAGTAGGTTTTTCTTTGTGAATGGCAAAACTTTTTTTGAATAATTCTGAGCGGTATTTTACCACATTTCTCAAAGTGGTAAATACTGCATTGTGAATAGAACCCAATGTCTCCAGAGGAATTGCTTTCTGCAAGATGGAGGAGAGAGGAATTCTGTTTGAACCATTTCATGGTCAGACTATGAGCAGTGATAGATATGAGAATCAGTGGAAACAGTGCACTGAAGAGTGAAATGTGTAAGTCTTAGTGTGGGGTTTACTTGATGCCAAGAGTCCACTGATGGTAAATGTTATAAATGCAGTTTGATAGTTTGGAGGCAAAGGCTGAGGGGTTGCTGGATTTAGAGCGGTATGTGGAGGATTGGTCTGGGTTTAGGTTGGAGCACAGTTTTGTAATCACTAACGTACGATTGAGTATTTCTCTAATTGTTCAAAAGAGTTTTGGTTTGGTTTAAAAGAGACATTTGCACACACAATTGGGGGTATGTGCCCCCAGTATCAAGTATCTACTATTAGGGTCCCTCACTGTAATTGTTATTGGAAAGATATTTCTAAAAGGGATAGCAACTCCCTTTCTTTTTTTTTGTTTACAAACGGTTTTATTGTATATGAGTAGACTGTAAAACAACAGTACATTTTTCAAGTGATACTTTCAGCAAAAATAAGGCACTTTTGAAAAGTACAATACAGAAAAGTATATTAACATAAAAAAGAGAAGAAATAGAAAAGAGTAAATTACGTAGATACATGAAATACGTAAATGATAAGGTAAGCTGAGTGTGATTACATCTGTCAACAGTATATGTCAGTCAACTTTCACTGAGAATGTTATTAATCATGCAATATATGTCTACAATCTCTCCATGACTCCCATTTTTTATCATATAAGTGCATCTTATCCAAGTAGGGTATAATGAATGCGTTCCATGAGCATTACGGCATCAATTCTGTGTAAAACGGAGGCTAAGGGTACAGCATTGGACCTCCAATGTAAGGCAATAGACCATAAAGTGGCAAAATACATATAGTATGTATCAATCTCAGAGTGGCATCAGAGATCCCTGGGATATGGGCCCCCAATAGACAGGTCTGTATGGACAATCGTATCAAGGTACACGACAGTGAGGTAGCCACCTCAGATATCTTGCACCAAATCAAAGATATGGTTGGGCAATCCCAGAATATATGAACCAAAGTACCTGTGAGGCCACAGCCCCGGAAACATAAAGGGGACGTTTGTGGAAACAATACATGTAGTCTTGATGGGGGTATAATACCATCTGGTTAAAACCTTAAGGGCCCGTCTCACGAACAGAAAGAGATCTAGAACTCTTGCATATGTTATCCACCATGGAATCCCAATCCTCATCTGAAAAAGTGATACCACTATCCTCCTCCCATTTTTGTCTGTATAAAGGGGGTGTATGAAAAAAGGCAGATCAAAAATTGGTGATAAAGATCAGAAATAAGACCCCTACCCTGAGAGAGTCACGGCTGATACATTCCAAAAAGGAAATCGGAGAAGATGGCATAAGGCTAAAGTGTGAATTTAAAAAGTGTCTAATCTGTAGGTAACGAAGGTACTCACGAAGAGGAACATCAAATAACACGCGCAGCATATCAAAGGTAATGTAAGATCCTCCTCCTTTGAAAATCAGATAATCTGATAAAGGATCGATCATACCACCAACGAAACATTTGAGGGGAAGAAAAAGCTGCAACAAAAGTAGGATCACCAAAAAATGAAACACCTGGGGGAATAAGAGAGGACTAGATTCAATTTAGATTTGTATTTGGACCAAAGTGTCAGTGAATGGGTCACTATGGAGTTATGAAAAGTAAGCGATCGAGGGGAGATTTTAGACCATAAATTTCCCAGTAAATAAAATGGGCGTATTGACTGAGACTCGAACTTGATCCATGGGATTTGAGAGTTATATTAGTAGCCCATTGTGATAATTGCGCAAAACGAGCCGAGAGGTAATATAGCCAAAAGTTGGGAAGACCGAGACCTCCCATCCGTTGGGAGCGGTACAAAATAGATGAGGCAAAAAACGTGGATGCTTGTTTCCCCAAATAAAATTGTTAATAGTCCGCTGAAAGTGGTCCAAAAATGTTTTCGAGACTGGAAACTGGAAGTGCTCTAAAAAGATATTGTCCAAAAAGCAGTTTAGGCAAAATATTCATTTTAACCGCCGTGACTCTATCCAGAAAGGAAATAGGGTAACCATGCCAAATCTTCAAATAGAGCAAAGAGACGTGATTCACATGGTGGATAATTAGCAGCAAAACATATCCGAGTATCTGGGAGTGAGATTAATACCTAGATAGGATATCCGATCCTTGACCAAGCGAAATGGGAAAGAACTACGGAGAGATTCACTTAGGGAGTCTGGAACATTAACAGGCATAATCACCGATTTGGTAAAATTAACGGTGAGACAGCAACTACTTTCTTTTTAGTGTCAGTTGTGATAAGGTAGGCCCTGGAGTATGACTTATGCAAATATGCTGGAGTTTGTTGAATTACAAAGTGTGTCCCTGGAGCATAATTATATCTGCTTTCCTTTTTCTTTAATCTAATATAGCCTTTCACATTTTTTTTGTGGAACATTAATACATTACAGTATATATTACTCTCAAGGCCATAATGGAAGAAATGAAAAATTCGATTCGACTGATTCGGCGAATTCGTGGACAATATTCGATTCGAGTCGAATAAATTCGCTGTGAATTTAACTTAAAAAAGGGTGTTTCTAGGCTTCAGAGAGACTTATAATTAGTGCAGAACACTGTACCTTTAATTTAAATGCCCTTGGAGTCTGCTGGGGAAGAGAAATAATACTGTCAGTCAGTATGACATGCAGATGAGTGCCGTCGATCTTAGAATCACCGCACACTTCACTCATTTGGGCAGTCACGGGGCCAAAACCAGAGTGTGGAGCCACAGTGTGGCGGTGGAGGCAGCAGCAATGGGAGGCCATACAGCACCCTATGACAAAAATGGAAACCACCAGCAGTGTGAGGAGACCTGAAAGTGGCACATGGCAGAGTGTGGCGATAGAGACAGCAGCAATGGGAGGCCGTACAGGGACCCATGACACACTCTGGACCTGGCAGCAGCATGAGGAGGCGGTACAGGGGCCCATGACAGATTACGGGCCTGGCAGCAGCATGAGGAGTCGGTACGGGGGCCCATGGCAGATTACGGGCCTGGCAGCAGCAATGGGAGGCCGTACAGGGACCCATGACACACTCTGGACCTGGCAGCAGCATGGGGAGGCGGTACAGGGGCCCATGACAGATTACGGGCCTGGCAGCAGCATGAGGAGTCGGTACGGGGGCCCATGACACACTCTGGACCTGGCAGCAGCATGAGGAGGCGGTACAGGGGCGCATGACAGATTACGAGCCTGGCAGCAGCAACTTGGACAGGAGGACGTTCAGCTTCTGCACCGTCGGGTGCGTGCTCGCAAACTGTTGTCTCTTGGAAACGGATTCCAAGAAAGACTGCTGACGGAATCCGTGAAGAGGAGTAGCAGGAGAAGGAGCATCTGAACGAGCGGAATATGCCAACAAGCGACAACAGGGGCCCATGTCAGATTACGGGCCTGGCAGCAGCATGAGGAGTCGGTACGGGGGCCCATGGCAGATTAGGGGCCTGGCAGCAGCTATGGGAGGCCCGTAATCTGCCAGCACCCTATGACAAAAAATGGAACCCACCAGCAGTGTGAGGAGACCTGAAAGTGGCACATGGCAGAGTGTGGCGATGGAGACAGCAGCAATGGGAGGCCGTACAGGGACCCATGAGAGACTCTGGACTTGGCAGCAGCATGAGGAGGCGGTATATAGGGGCCCATGGCAGATTAGGGGCCTGGCAGCAGCTATGGGAGGCCCGTAATCTGCCAGCACCCTATGACAAAAAATGGAACACACCAGCAGTGTGAGGAGACCTGAAAGTGGCACATGGCAGAGTGTGGCGATGGAGACAGCAGCAATGGGAGGCCGTACAGGGACCCATGAGAGACTCTGGACTTGGCAGCAGCATGAGGAGGCGGTATAGGGGCCCATGGCAGATTAGGGGCCTGGCAGCAGCTATGGGAGGCCCGTAATCTGCCAGCACCCTATGACAAAAAATGGAACACACCAGCAGTGTGAGGAGACCTGAAAGTGGCACATGTTTGGGGCATGATTCATGGCGGATTTAGTCAGTTGTGTCAGGAACTGGTGGTTTGAAATCCAGACTAATCCACGCCTGATTCATTTTCACAAACGTGAGTCTCTCCACACTTTGGGTGGACAGTCGTGTCCTCCGCGGAGTTGCAATACCTCCTGCCGCACTAAACACGCGCTCCGATGCCACGCTACTGGCCGGGCATGACAGCCTTTCAAGGGCAAATTCAGCTAGTTGGGGCCAAAGGTCAAGTTTCGTTGCCCAGTAGTCAAGGGGATTGTCTACCTCGGTTGGCAGGGTGCTGTCCAAGTAGGCCTAAGCCTGTTGTTTGAGGTCCTGCTCCAGGTCCACCTGATGCTGCTGCTGCTGCTGCTGCTGCTGCGGCTGGTTAGTAGTTTCCTCACTGCGCTGGTGAAGAAAGCTACTCATCATCGACTGCAGACTGAGGCAGCCGCTGCTGGTGGAGCTGCCACTGCTCCTACCACCCCACCCCTCCCCTGCTGCCATGGCAGCGGAACGCGAGCGCACAGGGCCCACAGTGTCTGAGGATGGACGTTGGCGCAGACAGGCAGAGACCAGCTGACTACATAGGTGGTTTTTATAGTACGTTATTTTGGCCTCCCTCTCAGCAGGTGTGAAAAAGGCCACCATTTTTGAACGGTAGCGCGAGGGTCCAACAAGGTGGACAGCCAAAAGTCATCCCTCTGTCTGATGGTTATTATTCGGCTGTCGCTACGCAAGCAAGCGAGCATGCTATGGGCCATTTGTGCCAAGGAATGCGAGGGACTCCCTGCCTCCATCTCCACAGCATACTGCCACGGTGCGTCTGGGTCCTCTGTCTCCTCTTCCTCCTCCTCTACCAGATGCTCCTGCTCCTCCACTCCTGTCCGCTGAGTGGAAAAAACCACCCATTTCACTCAATAATTCCTGAGCACCAATGTCCTCCTCTACCTCCTCCTCTTCTTCCTGTCCTGCCCCCACAGGGGTCATGTGGCGTTGAGATCTGTGCGCCACGTCTACCGCACCCTGACCAGCCATTGTTAACAGCATTTGTTCCAGGACGTGCAACAGAGGAATGACGTCGTTCATCCCATAGTCCTGCCGACTCACGAATAGCGTGGCCTCCTCAAAGGGCCTGAGCAAGCGCAGGTGTCACGCATGAGCTGCCAATGGCTGACATCTAAGTTACACAGGGAGTACCTTTATCCGCTTTTAACATCAGGAAATCTGTGATGGCCTTTTGCTGTTCGTAAAGGCGGTCTAACATATGTAGGGTTGAATTCCACCTTGTTGCAACGTCACAGCATGAGGAGTCGGTATAGGGGCCCATGGCAGATTAGGGGCCTGGCAGCAGCTATGGGAGGCCCGTAATCTGCCACACCCTATGTCAAAAAATTCAACACACCAGCAGTGTGAGGAGACCTGAAAGTGGCACATGGCAGAGTGTGGCGATGGAGACAGCAGCAATGGGAGGCCGTACAGGGACCCATGAGAGACTCTGGACTTGGCAGCAGCATGAGGAGGCGGTATATATATAGGGCCCATGGCAGATTAGGGGCCTGGCAGCAGCTATAGGGAGGCCCGTAATCTGCCAGCACCCTATGTCAAAAAATTCTACACACCAGCAGTGTGTGAGGAGACCTGAAAGTGGCACATGGCAGAGTGTGGCGATGGAGACAGCAGCAATGGGAGGCAGCAATGGGAGGCCGTACAGGGACCCATGAGAGACTCTGGACCTGGCAGCAGCATGAGGAGGCGGTATATAGGGGCCCATGGCAGATTAGGGGCCTGGCAGCAGCTATAGGAGGCCCGTAATCTGCCAGCACCCTATGTCAAAAAATTCTACACACCAGCAGTGTGTGAGGAGACCTGAAAGTGGCACATGGCAGAGTGTGGGCGATGGAGACAGCAGCAATGGGAGGCCGTACAGGGACCCATGAGAGACTCTGGACTTGGCAGCAGCATGATGAGGAGGCGGTATATAGGGGGCCCATGGCAGATTAGGGGCCTGGCAGCAGCTATGGGAGGCCCCGTAATCTGCCAGCACCCTATGTCAAAAAATTGAAACACACAGCAGTGTGTGAGAGACCTGAAAGTGGCACATGGCAGAGTGTGGGCGATGGAGACAGCAGCAATGGGAGGCCGTACAGGGACCCATGAGAGACTCTGGACCTGGCAGCAGCATGAGGAGGCGGTATATAGGGGCCCATGGCAGATTAGGGGCCTGGCAGCAGCTATGGGAGGCCCGTAATCTGCCAGCACCCTATGTCAAAAAATTCTACACACCAGCAGTGTGTGAGGAGACCTGAAAGTGGCACATGGCAGAGTGTGGCGATGGAGACAGCAGCAATGGGAGGCCGTACAGGGACCCATGAGAGACTCTGGACCTGGCAGCAGCATGAGGAGGCGGTATATAGGGGCCCATGGCAGATTAGGGGCCTGGCAGCAGCTATAGGAGGCCCGTAATCTGCCAGCACCCTATGTCAAAAAATTCTACACACCAGCAGTGTGTGAGGAGACCTGAAAGTGGCACATGGCAGAGTGTGGCGATGGAGACAGCAGCAATGGGAGGCCGTACAGGGACCCATGAGAGACTCTGGACCTGGCAGCAGCATGAGGAGGCGGTATATAGGGGCCCATGGCAGATTAGGGGCCTGGCAGCAGCTATAGGAGGCCCGTAATCTGCCAGCACCCTATGTCAAAAAATTGAAAACACACACAGCAGTGTGTGAGGAGACCTGAAAGTGGCACATGGCAGAGTGTGGCGATGGAGACAGCAGCAATGGGAGGCCGTACAGGGACCCATGAGAGACTCTGGACCTGGCAGCAGCATGAGGAGGCGGTATATATAGGGGCCCATGGCAGATTAGGGGCCTGGCAGCAGCTATGGAGGCCCGTAATCTGCCAGCACCCTATGTCAAAAAATTTACACACCAGCAGTGTGAGGAGACCTGAAAGTGGCACATGGCAGAGTGTGGCGATGGAGACAGCAGCAATGGGAGGCCGTACAGGGACCCATGAGAGACTCTGGACTTGGCAGCAGCATGAGGAGGCGGTATATAGGGGCCCATGGCAGATTAGGGGCCTGGCAGCAGCTATGGGAGGCCCGTAATCTGCCAGCACCCTATGTCAAAAAATTTAAACACCAGCAGTGTGAGAGAGACCTGAAAGTGGCACATGGCAGAGTGTGGCGATGGAGACAGCAGCAATGGGAGGCCGTACAGGGACCCATGAGAGACTCTGGACCTGGCAGCAGCATGAGGAGGCGGTATATAGGGGGGGCCCATGGCAGATTAGGGGCCTGGCAGCAGCTATAGGAGGCCCGTAATCTGCCAGCACCCTATGTCAAAAAATTCTACACACCAGCAGTGTGTGAGGAGACCTGAAAGTGGCACATGGCAGAGTGTGGCGATGGAGACAGCAGCAATGGGAGGCCGTACAGGGACCCATGAGAGACTCTGGACTTGGCAGCAGCATGAGGAGGCGGTATATAGGGGCCCATGGCAGATTAGGGGCCTGGCAGCAGCTATAGGAGGCCCGTAATCTGCCAGCACCCTATGTCAAAAAAATTCTACACACACAGCAGTGTGTGAGGAGACCTGAAAGTGGCACATGGCAGAGTGTGGCGATGGAGACAGCAGCAATGGGAGGCCGTACAGGGACCCATGAGAGACTCTGGACTTGGCAGCAGCATGAGGAGGCGGTATATAGGGGCCCATGGCAGATTAGGGGCCTGGCAGCAGCTATGGGAGGCCCGTAATCTGCCAGCACCCTATGTCAAAAAATTCTAACACACCAGCAGTGTGTGAGGAGACCTGAAAGTGGCACATGGCAGAGTGTGGCGATGGAGACAGACAGCAGCAATGGGAGGCCGTACAGGGACCCATGAGAGACTCTGGACTTGGCAGCAGCATGAGGAGGGCGGTATATAGGGGCCCATGGCAGATTAGGGGCCTGGCAGCAGCTATGGGAGGCCCGTAATCTGCCAGCACCCTATGTCAAAAAATTTCTAACACACCAGCAGTGTGTGAGGAGACCTGAAAGTGGCACATGGCAGAGTGTGGGCGATGGAGACAGCAGCAATGGGGAGGCCGTACAGGGACCCATGAGAGACTCTGGACCTGG